AGCCATTGCTACTAGGTTGGATGCCGTCGCTATTAGGTTGAAGGCCATTGCTTTTATGTTGTTCGGCCAAAGCGAGTAGGTTTGAGGCCATCGGTGACCGAATCTTGGAGAAGTTCACGCACACCCTGCGAGTTCTAAAGCGGTAGTTTCATTTATCCAACCGACCCATCGACAGGTTTTGCAGTGTCTTGCATGTGATTTATACTTTTCTTGGATGCAAGAGCCGTGTAATGTCGTGCACAAGGAACACAAAGCATGACCACCCCCGTTGGTGGCCAGAGAGAGTGGGTTAGGCAAACTGAAGAGCACTGCTCACAGCACTAAGGATCCCAGTGATGGGCATCTCCAAATGCTTCATGTGCGATGACATTCCAAATTGGCATGACTCTATGTCCCGCACTTGCACTGACTATGCTGTCCAGGGCTTGTGCAATGGTTCATGGCCCAATGCAAGCCTTGACCTGCCTTATCACGGCCTCAAACCCAGTGAGGCCTGCTGCATTTGTGGCGGTGGGAATGCGCAAGCTGTTCCCACTCAGATGCCTTTGGCCGACGAGTCCTTGTATGTGGGCCAGCGGATAGAGGCCTTTCCGGAGCCTGTGGCAGAGGCAGTGGCAGTTGACCCCGAGTGCAACCTGGCCGAGTTGGGTTTGGAGCTCTCAGTGACTGGCGTGATCCGTGGGAATTTGACTGCAACGAACAAGACCACCCAGCTCAAGTGCTCCATGATGCTCACACAAGACCCGATTCGCGGAATCTTCAGCAGCATCAGCTTGGACGTGCCCTTGTCCAGCTTCACCTACGGTGAGCAAGCACTTCTCTTCAAGTTATGGGGACAGGATGCAGAAGCAGCTCAGTCTTCCCTGCCTCTTCAAAAAAAATCATCACTCCAACTTGAGAACTATCAGCTGGCCTGTGTTCCGGAGTGCCCATGGCTTGGACTAGAAGCTTGGATGAAGAAGCGGACTAGTCGGAGGCCATCGCTATTAGCTTGGAGGCCATTGCTACTAGCTTGGACTAGAAGCTCCTGGCGGGATGGCCTTGGTTTTCATGTGGACTTTTGGACACCTTTCGCTTTTGACAACATGGCCATCGATTCTCATCCTTTCTTGTTTGTTTTGCTTCTTCTTTCTTCGTTATGCTCCTTTCTTGTTTGTTCTGTTTCATTATCATCATCATCATCATCTTCTTCTTCTTCTTTGGCTTTCTTCGTCAAAAAGGCTTCAAGATTTGTGTGATGGAGGCCATGGCCCATTGCTATTGGGCTGGAGGCCATCGCTATTCGGTTGGAGGCCATTGCTATATTAAGGTGGATGCCATTGCTGTTAGGTTGGAGGCCATTGAGGCCATCGCTATTGGATTGGAGGCCATCGCTATTAGGTTGGAGGCCGCTGCTATTAGCTTTGACGCCATTGCTATTAGGTTTGAGGCCATTGGCTATTGGCTTGGAGGCCATCGAGATTAGGTTGGAGGCCATCGCTATTAAGTTGGAGGCCATTGCTATTTGGTTGGAAGCTATTGCTACTAGGTTGGAGGCCATTGGTAGTAGGTTGGAGGCCATTGCTATTAGCTTGGAGGCCATTGCTATTAGCTTGGAGGCCATCGCTATTAGGTTGGAGGCCTTTGCTATTAGGTTGGAGGCCACTGCTATTAGGTTGGAGGCCATTGCCACTTTATCACGAAAGCTAGCTGTAGCTAGCTGGAGTCTGTCTTGCTTTAGCAAGGAGGGTGGGAGCCCAGGACTTGAGTGCTATTACCTGATATATCAGGACTAGACCCCCCCCCCTCGCGGGGTTCAACTCCACCCTTCTCCTCCTCGGTACCTGCTGCTGCTGCTGGCATCTCATCTGCGCCTGGCTCTTGGCTGCTTGCTGGTTGCTGCTGCTTGCTGCTTGCATGGCTGCCTGCTGCTTGTTGTCTGCTCCGTTTTGCTGCTGTTGCTGTTTGGGGTTGTTGGCTGCTGTTGGTGCTGAAGAAAGCCTATTCGTTAGAATCGAGAGTAGTTGCATTCCCTCTGAGTCGTGAAACGATGCTAATTTCATTATATCCTTAAGAAGCTTGTACAGGCATGTACCCACCCCACAACCTAATAGCCTAAGAGTACAAATCAGAATGCACTATCCGCTATCCATGCAGATCAAAAGATGATACTTACTTCACACATGAATGACAGAACCCAGTAAGATGTTTGAACGGGCTTTTTGCTTCACTCATGGTAGTCCGCGTTCCATGTTCGAGTGACAGGGAGCATGCACAAGCGTTGTCTTCGGTCGCTGGCACATGTTCGCATACAACCCCTAGATGTCAATCATGCACACCGCTGCTGGCTGCATCGTCCGCATTTATTCGTGAAAAAAGATATATCAGATATATCTGTCTTTCCACGTCGCCCTTCTACAATTACTCAGGCAGCGCCTATATGTGCTATTTACAGCCTTCGGCATGCCGCCGGCCACCAGCTCGAGCCCGCATTGGCAGGCAGCTTAATGATACAATACCCTGCTCAATCATACTTGTTGGTGCATTGGAGGTGCACATTTGGCTGGGTGAGTTTGTTGATGTTTATCTCAAGCTTGTTTGACCATGAAATGGAACAAATCCGAATCAGAGGTTGTCTATTCTGATCCAGCGATCCGAACCGGCATGTCTCAGTCGAATCACCTAAGAGGAACCAAGTGAAACCAACACAAGCAATGCGAACCAAGACTATCCACAAAACATGACCTTGAAAACGATTCTTCTTCCAAACTACTTGGCCGTGTGCGCGTTTTCCTTTTCAGATCTTTTTTTCGACCATCTCGAGGGATTGCGACACGCACCAGATATTCTTTTTCACACACAGAAGGCTTCAAAGCGACCGAAGAATTTCTAGATCTGGCATGATTTGTCGTTTTTTTCTCCAAACCGTTTGAAATGAAAGACCCAGAATGACATCCATCGAACAACAATACCCTGCTCAATCAGACTTGTGGGTGCATTGGAGTTGCACATTTTGCTGGGAGAGTTTGTTGCTGTGGATTTCAAGCGAAGTCGTTTTACAATGAAATGGAACGAATCCGAATCAGAGGTTGTCTATTCTGATCCAGCGATCGACATGTCTCAGTCCAATGGTTGTCTATTCTGATCCAGCGACCTACTACCTACTACCTACTACGTACCACCTACTACCTACTACCTACGACCTACGACCTACTACCTACTACCTACCACCTACGACCTACGACCTATGACCTACGACCTACTACCTACTACCTGCTGCTGCTACTGCTGCTGCTGCTTGGTAGCTGATGCTGCTGTTGCTTGGTAGCTGCTGCTGCTGCTGCTGTTGCTTGGTAGCTGCTGCTGCTGCTTGGTAGCTGATGCTGCTGCTGCTTGGTAGCTGATGCTGCTGCTGCTTGGTAGCTGATGCTGCTGTTGCTTGGTAGCAGCTGCTGCTGCTGCTGCTTGGTAGCTGCTGCTGCTGCTGCTTGGTAGCTGTTCATGCTGCTGCTGCTGCTGCTTGGTAGCTGGTGCTGCTGCTTGCTAGCTACTCCTGCTGCTGCTTGGTAGCTTCTGCTTGCTGCCGCTGCCGCTGCTGGTTACAGTTATTGTTGTTGTGGTTGCTGCTGCTGCTGCTGCTGCGGCGGTTGCTGGGGTGGTTGTGTGTTGCCATGTGTTGGCTGTGTTGGGGTCGTATTCGGGGGGCGCTGTTGGCACTCTCCTTTTCTCTTGGCCATGGCATGTTGCGATTCCCGGCCAGGCTTTTGCTGCCTAAAGAGCCCCAGCGTTGTTTATTGGCCTAGCTTTCGCCACCCCCCCTTTGGGCCACAAGTTGGAGGCCAGTGCTATTAGGCTGGAGGCCATGGCTATTCAGTTGGAGGCCATGGCTATTATGTTGGAGGCCATGGCTGCTAGCTTGGAGGCCTCGCTACTAGGTTGGAGGCCATCGCTAGTAGGTTGGAGGCCATTGCCATTAGGTTGGAGGCCATTGCTATGAGGTTAGAGGCCATCACTATTCGGTTTGAGGCCATTCCTATATATGTTATTGTTTAGCTTGTAGCGAAATGCTCACTAAGCACCCACGTTCTCGTACTTCTTCGTGCAGGTGCTCGCACTGTTTTAATGAAACATTGGCACCTCTGAAAGACCCGGACGAAAGTGGGCTAGAGGCACTCCTGGGGCCCTCGCAGGGATTGCCTGAGACAGAATCCGTTTGAAGAAAATCGAGGTGCAGAACCGTATGTGGCCAGCTGTTTGAAGAAACAATTTTAACTGTTGTATGTTTCTGATTTCTTTTGGACGCCTTAGAGCTAGCCAAAGACTCCAAGCTGTATAGAGTGTTTTATTTGTACATGAAACAGGTACAAAATTACAAACCAAAAATGCAACTGTTAAACTTGAAGCAGCCGCATGCAGCAAGCACGTATGTTGACAAACCTTTGGCATGGACATGATGGAAGAACCAGCAGTTATGAACATTTGGAGGTGCCCGTGGGTCATTGGATGAAGATATATGTTGAATAGACATAGAAACGTGTTTTCGATGGTATGTTTTCTCATGACACCAGTGTGCTGTGTGTTCCTGATGTTCCTCAGATGCACATGAATGCATTCTCAGTTCTGTCAGTGGTTTTGGACACATCGAGGATCAAGGCAATGGCGATCTATTCCTGCAAACCAATGTCTTGGGCCTTCAGAAATTCCCGTCTGAGATGAAAGGAAGTGTTGAAGGATATGAAGGGGTGCCATCTTGCAGCTGTCAAGTCTCTGCTGAGTCGGCAAACCATACCTTTTCGACAGACACTTGGCATTTTCTTGGCATTGTATAACCATGCTGTTTAACCGAATTATGCGTGCCCTAGTCAATGTTGATTGCACATCAGCTGGAATTGTGCAGCTTGATGGTTTTAGTATGTTTTGAACGAAGCAGTGTTGCAATGCGTTTTTGTGTGGTCAGGATTTCGTTGCCCTGCAAGCTCGCTTATGGCGATCAGGGTCCTATGTCAATCAGACCATCATCGCCAGGACGCACGCTGACCGGCGTCGCTGACAGCGCCGCTGACAGCTGACAGCGCCGCGTTGTTTGGACCAGTGCCATAAAAGTAGTATATAATGCCAACCTCATGCACCTAGTAGCAATGGCCTCCAACCTATTGGCCATCCTACTGACCTACTAGTGATTTTCCAGCCTAATAGTGATGGCCTCCAACCTATTAGCGCCATCAAACGCGACAAGAAACAAGCATCAAACATGACACCCAGACAATTCCGAGAACTGGTTTTGTGCACAGGATTGGCACTGAAATTCCTGATGTGGAATTGCTCGAAGATCCAGGGCTTGGCTTCCGGTGGTACAGCAGTCAGAACGATTTGCAGCTACCTGTGCTTCAAAACATCTCCACTGGAGAGCTCTTTGTGGTTTCTCCATCCGTCACCCCAATGATTCTGGACGTCAATTGCAAGGATACGAAGAACAGCTATGCATGGTCACGCATCACAGGTGATGTCACTCTGCGGGGTCAAAAGGCCTTCAACCTGGACCCGCAATCCGGCACGGTCTCGGGTGTTCCATCCCTCGAATTGTCAGACACCCAGGGCAGAGCAAGTGTCACAATCACTTGCCAGGTTGCGCTGGGTGGCCCCACCTATGACAAAGTCCTGCCAGTTGCAAACCTCACGGTCGAGGTTCAGGATGATGTTTGTTGGGTGCCAGGACCTATTTCCCTGCCAGCCCTTTGGCAAAAACTCGACGCCCAAACAGGCCCATTGTGCCTTTCAAGTTGCCGCATGCGTGATGATTGCGCTGCTGTACACTTCAATGACACGTGCTACGTCATGGTCTCGGACGGGCAATTCCTGAACTTGACGGGCAATGCGTTGGTGCGACTGAGCAATTGCTCCGAGGAAGTCTCAGCTTTGAATCTGTCAGTTCCAGGAGCAGCTTATGTCGATGGGCAGTTCACCGTGTCCAATTCATACAAAGATCAGGCCGGACGACATAGAATCACTTTGAAGCTTTTGATATAGTTGTCCGGTCAGGGAAGCATAGTGCCCATGCCTTTCCGAAGGTATCCTACTCTCGAGCTGGCTCAACTCCTGGTCGGCAATTGGACTTGGTGCAGGGCTCCTTTGTTGAGGCGGACAGCTATTGCCGCTGCCTCAGCACAAACGCCTTACTGCTTGACCTTGCATCAGCACAGTGATCCATTAGTTTGACCAGCGTGGGCTCGAACAACACAGTGCTCCACCTGGAGTTGGAGTTCTGCCAACAGGAACGGAGGAAGACCGAGTTATATATATATATCGACCTTTCATCCATGTACCGAATAAATGGCGGCCGCTAAGGGCGGTTGCCTGCGCGCGTTGCATCTAATTCCGAATTTAAAACTGCACTTGGCCCCTGAAGTAAACCCGTTTGGGTTCCTTCGGGCCCGCAGCATACTTAACAAGAAGCGCTGCGAAACAAAAGACCACCTGAACCGGGCGATGGGCCCCCCGCCAGTCATGCAACATGAGCAAAAGATGGCTGAGCAACACCGCTAGATGATGTACTCAGCACTTGCTAAATAAAGAGAGCAGCAGTCAAAGTCTGCCAGCTACTGCAGAAACAAGAGTCACATAGCCACTGTACACCCTAGTGCCTCTTGCCATCAGTCCGTCAACTCAACTCATCCGAAACCAAGTAGTAGCACATCTGTACTTGGCTAATTCATTAATTATCGCTTCTTCATGTCATTCAGCAGATGATCAGCTTGTCCCCATCCGGACACTAGCACCGATAGAGCTTCAAGCTACACTGCCCGTCGGACCCGCCACCTAGTCTTGCCTGTCCAACTGGAAGCCGAAACAAAAGCAAGCAAGGGCCAGTACTCCGTGTCAGCGACCTGGTCCTTCCCATCAAGAGCTCAACGAGCTTCTGACACCGGTACATGTTCTTGAGCCACTCGCTGTTATGTTCCTTCATCGCCTCCTGGAGGCGATAGTTCAAGGAAACTAGTCCACACAGTCTCGGCATATAGTCGTGCCACGCTGCGGTGAAGCGACATCGGCATAAGCCTCCCACTCTCTCACACCTTAGAGCCAGCCAAGTTGCTCCCCAACCGCACACTATGGCTGGCATTGGAGCAACACTATTGAGACCCTCCATGCCGGTTTGTAAACGCTCGCGTGCTGCCACGTGCTTCATCGGCAACATTACTTTCCTGACAAATGCAAATGGGTCTCGATCCTGGTTCATTCGTCATTGCAGTGTTCCATGGCCTTCTGGAGGCGATCCGTCAACGAAGCAAGGCACAGTCTCGGCACACGGTCGCACCATACTGTGGTAAAGCTGCTAATATGTGCAAGTCTGTTGCCATGGAATCCCACAAGCAAGAGAAGCACACTCTTCTCCTAATCCATGGGAGGCGAACCTCTTTTCAGGTTCTGGGGCTGACAAGTGGATCCTATCGAAATAGGCAATCTTGAGCCCTATGTACCAATAGAATAAAATTACAGTAACACAAAGAAAAACGCATCCGAATAGAAAAGACAATTTTGGACTATTTGCATTTCAAGGGCGGGAAACATGTTTGAATCTCGCACAGTTCCTTTTCGCAGCAGCGAATCAGCTCAAGGGCCCTGTTCAGCCGAAACAGCAGCGACGGTGCATCAACTGTACGCAATACACCCTGGCTACAACAGCTGAAATTCACACCCGTCTTATCTACAGGTGTGTTGCGGGCTTTACAGTTCAAGTTGTACAAAGGCAGCCAAGCAACTCTATTCCCCGTGGGGCCGTAAACCATGCCATTCCATGTCGAATTCTCAAAACAAGTCAGGTGAGACTTCTTCATCTTTCTTCTTGGCTCCCTTCTCGCATGCGCCACTGTTCTCGACATTCACAAGGCCACTTTCCAGTGTCTTGAGGAGGTAGTCCGGCTTCATGCTCTTGGTTAGCGGGTCTGCCAATTGCTTCGATGTCTCAATCCACCTCAGGTGGTCACCATAGGGACTGTAGATCTCTGATGTTTTCTCGCCACTCACAGTCCACACTCCTTGCCTCAATGCGGCAAGTTCTATGCCGAGCCTCTTGTCTTGTACCTTTCTTGGAACTTCTGCCAGTAAATGGTCCGATAAGCTCCTGCAATCCGTGTAGTACACGTGTGCCATTCGCCTCTGGGTTTCTTCATGCCAGTGCTTAAAGTCATCAAGTCGTCCGGTCAACTCACAAATCAGGCATCGTGGGCGATCTCCATGTTCGACTGCAGTTTGCAGAGCATATGCTTCTGCTTGCAATGTAGCACGACACACCCTTTTGAGGGTAGTTGAACCAAAGCTGATCAGATGCATTCTGTGACTGCCTTCCTTGAGGCTGCTCGCATTCGTTATGTAGTGAATGCGGCCTTGCTGACTCTTAAAGCCTTCTTCGTTTGCGAAACTTGCGTCGCTAAATGTCACAACTGCCAGATCGCTCCAGTCAATCCAATCACTCTTGAAGGTGATCTGCAAGTCACTTCCTTGAAGTGCCAATTCAACAACCTTGTTGGCGTTTTTCAAGTCTTGCATTGTTGCCTTTGCGCTACATGCACGCTGCATCTCATTCACACGGTAACAAAGGTCTGGTCTTCCATAACGGGCAACCCAAGCCAAACTACCAACAACGCTCCTGAGGCTTGTCAACTCCTTCTCTGTCACCTTTTCCGACAGCTTCCGATGCTTGTCGATTTCGATCGGCTTCACTGTTCTGCAGTTTTCACTTGTAGAAATGCTCACGGAGTAGTCCTCATGCTGTACGAACTGACGTCCGCAGTATCGGAACTTTCCCGATTCTGTTTTGCCAATCGTGAACCTTTTGAGGATACCTTCAATTGTCTTCTTGCCTTCGTCAAGGTAGCAATACAACAAGTCATCGACATGTGTCGCGACCATGCCTATCAACTTTCCCTTGGAATTGTGCAAATAGTACAATGCAGGTGTAATGCGACTGCACTTCAACCCGGCACTGGTGATCTCACCATTCATCCTCAAGTAAAAACCTCTGCCTGCGTCGATCGTGCCATAGATCGGAAGGCGTGCAACTAACATTGCATCCGGTGGAACATCCGGGCTTGGAATTCCACCACGTGGCTGTTTGAGCAACAGCAACCTCGTCATAGGTTGACTTTGAAAATACGCTGAGGAAACATCTGCCGCATATAGGGTCACACGATGGCTTGATGCGAAGCTTGCAATCAACATGTGTCCTTCAGTCTCAGCAGTGGGGCTATCGCAACGAATACCCTGTGAATCACGGCTCACTTGTTCGTGATTTCCACAAGCTACTAACCGAGATCTGTTTTCTGGCCGATGTTCAGGCGTACCTGTCAGATGAGCTTGCTTATCCACATCTACCCATTGCATAGGAATAGGAACATGCCCTTCTTGAAGTAACTCTTCCAATTCCTTGCCTCGAATAGGCATTGCAGCATTGAAGCTCCTATATTTGCTCCACTCTGCACGACGTGCATCCAAGATGCGGGCTTGCATCTCGGGAGTGCATCGGTCGTATTGCAGCGTCTTTGCCACCTTGCCAACCTGCGTCTCACTGTTTTCTCCAAAGCGTTGAGCCACAAAGGCTCGAAACTCTGCAGCATCGAGTTCAGTGTCGTCAGCAGCGGCCATGGCGATCAACGGGTGTTTTACCCGTGTAAAGATTGTGAAACCTGTCCATGCGCGAGAATCAACATCATCCATGCCCGGCATGGACTCGCTGGTCATTCGACTTCCGTCTTCATAGACTTTTCTGGTTACGCGTCTTCCTCCGAATCCTTCCGGAACATCTCCGTCATGCAGCGGGTGAAAGTCATGGAATCTCCTCTTGTTGTGAACTTGCATGATTCTCAGAGATTCTCCAATGATCTTCATTGTCAATCATTGCGAGCATGACCTCATCATCACCACCAATGCCTCCGGGGGTCATCGGAACTGCGACTGCGCTTCCACTCGCGCTTGCAGATGATCGGGCAGCCTTGCCCGTCTTATCTTCTGCTTGTGCTTCTCTCTTCTGTCCCTTCTTAGGGCTTGCTTCTTCGTCCATCATTCGGATGTACTTCTGCTGTCCCAATGTCACTGCCTCCGGGAAGACTGGGATATTGTTCAAAATAGAGTAGGCCAAAGATTCACTCTCATTGGCTGATCTAAGTTTTCCGGCAGCACACAAAATAGGAATACCTTCATGTAGCAACCAGATGCCATTGTGCGGGTCGATGCCAATCACACGCGAAGCAGTGGACCACACGGTCCCACCTTGCTGTGTGTCTCGACGATAGACCACAAGGTCTCCAACCACAAATGACTTCTTGTTCTGGACTGCGGCATTCCTGGTCAATGCTCTTGCAACACGGGAACTTGTATCCAGATGGATGAATGCCTTTTGTGCAGCCATACGGGATGCGTGACACAAATGATAGCTTGCTGCAGGGTCAAGCTTGTTCTCCAAGATGCCCAAGTTTCCTGCCTCATCCATATCTGTCACAGATCCTGGAATTCTTGGGTTCCTTCCCAGGACCCATTGTGCTGGAGAATAGCCTTGGACTCTTTGCATGTGATTCTTCACGGAAGTGCACTCGTGCAAACATGTTTCAAACGCATTGCGACCAACGGCTTCCATGTCATGGATGGTCTTCCTGAGAATTGCCTTCAAGATACCTTGGTGCCTTTCAACCTTGCCAATGGCTGAAGGGGTTTCCAATGGTGCATAGAAGATCTCAACACCGTGCGAAGCGAACAGCTTGGATACCTCACCTCGGTTGTGGACACCTCTATCCATGATTGCGGCCTTCGGAAAACTTGCCCAACTGATCCATCTGCGAAGGATAGCTTGTGCACAGGCTTCTGACGTTGGCATACCTCCACCTTCTTTGACAACCTCTGACAAATGGAATCCTGTCGAAATGTCTAGCATCGTGAGAATGCTGTACTTGTTCCCTGCATAGTCCTTCATTTCTGTGACATCAAGACCTAGCATGGCATTGAACTCATACTGGAAATTACTATTTCCTACCGGATGGTCACGGGGACGTGGTGCAGTGTCTTCGCAGGACTGACAGCGGACGAGACGTGCAGCTTCGATCAACTCCTTGCTTGCCTTACCTGCCTTTAAGATATTCTTCAAAGTTGACGGTGCGGGATGTCCG